TTACCTTCTTAGTGTATTATATTTTGTTACTAAACATTTATTTCGTTCTGAAATTAGAACAAACTGTAATGAGTAAAACTGTTATTTCGGGCTTTATCCATCGTCTAGGCCGCGGATTCTCGAATCTTTACAGACGTGGCCCCACATTCGCCCCTTATAAATCACTGAAATTTTATTAAACGCCGCTGCAGTTTATTACAAATGTTATAAAATTAGGCCTACTTCTGTAAATTTGTTCACGCATTTTTCAATAATTTTCTTTAATTTCAATAACATGGGTCATTAGATGTAGGATTTAATGTTTTCTCGGCGGTGAATTTGAAGATGGCTGTCTTCTGGGTAATTGCGCCGTGTAGTCTGTTAGACGTGTACCGACGTTTCAGAGGTCCTTGCGACTCATCGCCCTGATGATGGAGGCAGCAAAGACCTTTGAAAAGTGCCTGAACTTCTACCAGACTATAGGGCGCAACAACCTAGAAGACACTCATCTTCAGTGGGTCATTACGTTAATTCATTCATTTTGTGAAGCTTAACATCTATCCTCCTACGTGCTAATCAATATGACGCGTAATATTCTTCGTTTTACTGTCTTAACAAACGCTTAAGCTTCAAGTCGCTCACAGCGACAAATACTGACGATAACAAAACGTGTTTTCTGACGTCAGATATGTAATTTTCATCCTACAAATAATACAGCGTTGTAAAATCGTACGAGGGCCGATGGCCCCCTGGTTTGTCCACGTACCAGCCTAATTCGAACAGACAGCCCCAACATTCTAGGCTTTTGTCCTTCTCTCACCTAAAACGCAAGTACGACCAATAAAGTGTGGTTGTAATAAAACCTAGACGATGGTAAATTACAAAAACAAAAACAATTCTATCCAAGTTATTGCGCAATCACAAGAAACCTTAAAACTTCAAACGAGTTACAAAATATTATTCGGGGTTTCTTTTGAGTCGGTCAACCTTACAATATTCCCTTTATTATGGAGACGCAATTGGTCTACGTAACGTTGGGTTAGTGTCCACAACCTACAGGTCCTGTTGTTCGAGGTAATACTGATTTCAGTATTGTACTACTCTCACTCTCTGGTACGGTTTGTGGGAGAATACGAGTTGCTGTAGTACTGTATCTTTTGCAATGAAGCTGTCCGTACTCGCAATTATGTAAGCATCTCAAATACAGTAAGTTTAGGATAATTTGCCAGTCAATTATACGGTTAGAGATTCCGACAGTTTATGATATAATAAGATAAATATTTTCTAGTCATTTTATAAGTTAATGAACTCAATATTCTTTTTCGAATCTAATAGCAAACAGCGTGAAGTTATAATCATTGAAGAAGATTCTAACTTAACAACAAACGGATACTTTGATGGCACCAGCAAAGAACGTAAGTATGAACTGAAGTTTCCAGTTAAATTTTATTCAGGAAACAGTACCAAACGCTTCGGCGAAGAAAGTAAATTGTGTCATTTAAGTTGCCTCTGGAGCCAGTTTGAATAAATTAAAAACTGTCCAAATATCTCCTTCACTTGCTTATTGCCTTACGTTGTTTATAATAATCTTGGCCACAGGTAATCTGTTCATTAATGCTGAAATATTACCTATTAATTCTGAGAACCATACGAAACTCTTAATATATCCTCTGTGCAAAACTTTGATACTGAGAGTTAAAATAGTTTACCACTGTTCTGCAAAAAAACACTTTCCAAACATCTTTTCTGGCGCCAAGGCTGAAACACAAAAATATATTGTGCAAAATACACAATTTTCCATTTAAAAAGTAAATACATTTATTGCAAAAAATATATAAATTTATAATGAACAATTGCTCAAATTAAGGTAAGGTCAAGTATGCACATAGTTGATAATTCTGTTAAAGGCAATTACTTAGTAATGTGTGGACCTGCTTGCAATAATAAGTTAGTAACATTTTAAATAACTGGCAATGCCGATTTAATCAAGCTTCCTCACATAGACAAACTTTACGCACGCAAGTCACTAAGAAATTTAATGGAATCACAGGTATGGACAAGGTTAAGATATCAAGCCCCTTTTTAAAATTTCAAAAGCAAATAAACAGGTCAGTTCAAGGTCGGATTCGATTGGTCTGTATCGTTTTTCGGATTTAACTTTGTTTACTGCAGCAAAGAAATATTTTCTGTCACTTGAACAAATTTTTACTTTTAATTTCAGCAAAGATTTGGACTGGCAGATACCTTCTGTTGGCAATCGAGCGCGACAGTTACTTCATAATGACCCTTTGCTCAAAACAGGGTGGAAATAGTAAGTATACTTCTTGATTATTACTTTATTAAGAGACTCGATGCATCAGCACCAAATACAGAGACGCTGAGTCCATACAGCATCACACCGCAGAAGAACATCCTCGTATTCACATATAAGATAACTTCAGATCACACACGTATATCTCTTGCTAACATACATTAAGCAATAAAAGGCTGAGCATTTTTTTTCAACATTTCTACCCCATTTGTCCCTGCATAACATTCCTTGACGTTCTGGCACTTAACCTCCGGCTGATAGGGACATTACACCACCGCCGTCACTGTATCGGCGCTTGCCCTCAGTCATCTTGTGTGTTTTTCATCACAAACAAAGTCTTTAATAGGCCTATTTATTTTTTGTGAAGACATCAGTTCCTGAAAATATAAATTTTTAACATTTATCTGCCTCCAAACCCTTGACGATGAGAGTGGGATACTCTATAAAGTCTCTTTTCAAAAATTTTATATCCTCTTCTCCCTTACCCAAAGCTTGTTCTATGCCGTATCCACCTTACCTTCAATGCTTTAAAACAAATATAAGGAACAATTCATCATGTTCATTGTTACGTCAACTAGTCACTTTATCGCCTTTTACTCAGTCAAAATGTACCTGTATCAAGTTATTTGAGAAGTCACAAACTCATATGCATTAATTTGTTTTAATTCGTTCACTTATTTACACAATGTTTTCATAGTTATTTATTTTCATGTGTTCATTTGTATTTTTAAACGAGAAAGCTCAGGCGGTGTTAAGACTTCTGCGGTTTGGACGACCTTGTTTCAATTCCCGGCTTGGCCAAGAATTCCTCCCCATGTCCAGAAAGGCTCATAACCCTCCCAAGCTCCTGCCAAACTGCTACCTGGGGGAGGGTGTAAAGCGACCGGATCTCGCTGATGACTGTCGACAGTAAACAGATGAA